AAGCACTGGGTCACGGTCACCATGCCAACCCACTGGGTGTAGTACACGCATGCTTCGCTGCAAGTCGTTGGTTCTGCTGCTTGCGCATGATAGGGGTTAACTCGAGTGTGGCAGCCTCTACAGACGCTTACCAGACCGTCTATAAACATTTCTGGCTGGGGACTCGGCTCTGATCTGGCTGTGATCGTCGTCCTGCTGCGACGTAAAATAATTCCTGATGTCACTTGGGGGCGGACGTTAAATTGCCTCTTGATCAGCTCCGATTCCGAAATCTGAAAGTAAGTGGCGCCTAAACTGTGCCACCGGCCGGTCCTACCGATGGACCGGTACCTGGCCTAACCCACCTGGCTGTTGGGTCTGGTGGGGTCTAGACTAGGCCTACCAGACTCTAATCTGAACCGACGGTCCCGCCAGGCCCACACCGACGGTTCCTAGGCCTACCTGGGCCTGGTGGGACCGTCATGACCTGGTACCTAGGCCTCACCCGTGCCTACTACAGAACCGGGCCCTAACTGGGGCCCGTGTGGTATCAATATGCCACACACTCCCCCCCTTGAAGACCGAGCTAATTGCGAGGGCGAAGCTGTCTGTTCGATGTCCGTGCGGGCCGGGCGGGTTGGGTAGCTTCCTTAGCAAGTCGCCGTTTTGCGTAGTGCGCGAAGATGAGGGGTGCTGTCACCTTTAGGTCAGCTCGTGAAATCCAGCGTGTGTCGTCGGGATCACATTGCTTGAATGTAACTTTGTACTGCATCGGTTGTTGCCGTGCGTGCGATGAGTGAGGACACGGTCGACCTCCTGGTGACTGTCCATTGTGTTGTGGGACCGTCTGCCTGGAAAGTCCGTTCGTGAGGCTGGAGTGTAGACTGCCAGCTTTGAAGCGTTAAATACCGGGTGGACCGTCAAATGTGCACTAGCGGTTAATGGAAGGCCAAAAATTCGGCGATCACCTCTCCCCAAACCACATAGGGAGGAGCTTGCGCGAGACGCGCTGCTCGAGCACGAATTCCTCAGAGGTGACCCAAACAAGGTCGCCAGCGCGGATTGGACATGGGATGCAACGCCGGTTCGCTTACTGCTGCATACAGACCTGAGCCTTTTGCATATTTGCGTGGGCTTTGGCCAGCATATCCCGGTACTTCCATGTAGAAGCGGGGGAGCAAGCGGCGTGAATATCGGAAGCCCGTGGAAGCAAAATGTCTGCGAAGATACGGCCTTTCCGTACACCGTGATGCAACTCGAATGGAGTCACGCCGAAAGCCAGGTGCACCGAAGTGTTGTAGGCGAATTCGATGTCGGGAAGACGGTCAACCCAGTCCTTTTGATCCGGGCGGATGAGTGTGCGGAGCATCATCTACACAGTCTGGTGCGCATGGTCCGTTTGCCCATCCGTTTGAGGATGCCGTGCCGAACTCGGTTTCATGCTGGTGCCGGATTCCACCATGAGTGTCGTCCAAAAGGCAAACATGAAACGAGTGTTGTGGTCGCTGACGATGTCTTCCGGAACGCCATGGCTGCAAAACCAGCCGGTATGCAAAAGTCGTGCGAGCTCGGGAGCCGTCGCATGATGCTTGCATGGAAGAAATCGAGTGTACTTGCTCAAACGGTCGACGACTGTGAGAATACCATCATGGCCAAGTTGATCGCGAGGGAAAGGACCGGTCACATCCATGGCAATGGAGAGACCTGCTTCCCAGGGAATCGGCAATGGTTTCAGTTTGCCGTACGGGAGCTGATGGCACCCTTTGTTCCAGTGGCAAACTGCACATGACTGAATGTACCGGTTGACGCCGCTGATGATGTTCGGCCAGTGGAATCGCTGGCGGAGTCGTGCAAGTGTGCATGTGACGCCAAGGTTCCCGCCAACCACGAATTGTGGTATTCGCCAAGGAGGCGAGTGCGCAAGATGCGGTCTTGGGGAACACACAACAAGTCCTTGCCTCACGTATGGAGAAGCAAGTAGCGTCGACGATGCGATAATTGCTTGCTGGCGGGTGATCCGATGATAAGTCTGCGTAGAGTATGGAGAAACCCGGATCTGACTTGTAGCCGTTTACGAAATGCTGTTGCAGGTCCTCGTCGAGGTCGAGCGTGGAGTGCACCAAGGCGCAAAGATCGGGTCTTCGCGAGAGAGCATCCGCTGCTTTGTTCGAGGGGCCCGCAATATGCTTGGAGGTGAAGTCGAACTGGTCAATGAAATACATCCAGCGACCGATCGTGCTGCTCACTGTCTTGCGTCTTGTAATAAGTCAACGGATTGTTGTCCGTTGCCCGCGTGAATCGCCGACGCCCGATGAGAAAGTGACGCCAACGCTTAAGTACCGTGACAAAAGCTAGCAGTTCCTTCTTCCTCGCATCATCAAGGGAATTGATGGGCGGCACCTTTTGGCTGAAGTACTCAACCGGATGCCAGTCTGTGTCGTCGTGCTGTTCCAAAACCGCGGCAATGCCGTAGTCGGAAGCATCCGTAGTCACTTTGGTTGGCAAGGTCGGGTCATAGATGCTCAAGACGGGAGCTTGAAGCAAGGCCGTCTTCAACGTATGGAACGCGTGTCGGGCTTTGTCGTTGAACTCAAAGGGCACCAAGGGGGACTGAAGTCGCGTCAATGGTGCAGCGATCCGTTGGAAGCTCTTGACGAAGCGCATCTAGTATGATGCTAAGCCAAGAAAGGAGCGGATGTCAGTAGTACACGCGAGGTCCGACCAATCTTGAATGACTTGTACTTTGTCCGCGAGCGGACGAATGCCTTGCGGCGTAACGTAATGGCCCAAGTACTCCAACTCTTGTTGGGCAAACTCGCACTTGTCGCAGTTTGCCTTGTACTTGGCGATACGGAGCCGCTCCAAAACGGCGCGAAGGTGCTTGTCCCATGACCAACTATAAACCAAGATGTCATCAAGGTAAATGAGTATGGTGCGGTTGAGCAGGTCGCGGAATTCCGTCGTCATAGCCGCTTGGAAAGTAGTCGGGGCATTGGTGAGGCCGAATGGCATGACGGTCCACTCAAAGTGCCCATACCGTGTCTTGAACACGGTCTTGTACTGATCTCTTGGCTGGATCTCGATCTGGGTATAGCCTGATTTGAGGTCCAACTTCGAGAAGTACTTGGCGCCGCCTAGTCGCTCGAGGAGATCATCGATCCGCGGGAGAGGGCTGATGTTCTTGATCGTTTGCCGCTGAAGTTTCGGATAGTCGATACACAAACGAAGGTCCTTGTTCTTCTTCTGGACGAAGAGAACGGGAGCACCGTATGGCGAACAGCTAGGGCGAATCCAGCCCTTGGCCAAGAGGTCGTCTAGTTGCGCCCGAAACACTTGAAGCTCCTCTTCGCTCATTCGGTAAATGCATCCACGCGGAGGTACGGCGCCGTCCTTGAGAGTGATCCCGTGGCGTATGGTCCAATCCGGTACTACTCTGGCGGGAGCTTGGAAGACATCCTCATAGTTGTCCAAAAGCTCAATGATGTGTGGGTCCGATGTGTCCATCTTGGGCTGATCACCAGGTTGGAGGGCATGAAGAAAACACATGCCGATCTCCTCGATGTCGTGTCGGCTGATGGATTGGCGAATGCTCGCAGCGGAGACCACGTGACAACCAATCGAAGGACGAGGAACCGACACCGTGCACGGGACTAGTTCGCCACACCGATCACGAACGTGAACGGTGCGTCGGAAGAAGTTTACCGGATGGTCTTCACTTTGCAGCCACGAGATGCCTAAGATCATATCAGACTTAGTGTCCAAGATGTCAAATGACATGGCCTCGCATGGTAGCGGGGCAAAGTACACGGGCACAGAGTCAACGCAGCGGTCAATTGACTTTTGTGTGTGACCATCGACCAACATGACGTGCATAGGCTGACTTTTCCTTCGAACGCGCGGGGCAAGCCCGATGCGTGCCATAAAGCCTTGGCTGATATAGTTGCGAGTCGCTCTACAATTGATCAAGGCACTGCAGGTTGCCTTTTCGATCTGAATGCGGATGTAGAGGAGCGGCGCGTCAATGTCAACGTACCGTTGCGTTGTGTGCTCGCAGTCGATCTTCGCGAGGTAGCTGCGAAGGTCAACAACCGCTACTTTGTCGTCCGTCGACGGAGGTGGTACTGCAGCATGCAAGTATTCGCGCAAATGTGCCATCAGGGCGTTGCAATGTGGTGTTGGCAAAGAACCGGTGGAGGGAAGAGACAACCATTGGAAGTCCTCAACCATCAATAGGTCGAGTTCCTCAAGACTCGCCCAAGTTGACGGATCCTCCGATAGAAGGGTTGGCGAAGCAACTGGTTCGTTGTCCGACGGCGGTAACACCGCGCATGCGCTTGAATCTTGCACGTGGAGAGGCTGGTTCAACGGCGGGACCAGCAGGACAGCATAGTTCCAATCCGAGAACTTGTGACTACCGCGGTATCCCCGGACGTGAGAGACTGCTAGCAAGGCAGCCGAGTCCGGCGGACTGGGAAGCGATGTTACTGCACTTCCTGCGATGCTCAATTTCCCGAACCTGGACGCTTGACATTTTCTTTGTCCTTGTCTAGGCATGTACTAGTGATGTGTTTGGTGCTGTTGCACCATAAACAGCATCCCCATTTCCGCCGTAACTTGAACATGTCTTCGGTGATCCCGAACTTTCTCCATGGTGACTGTCTCACTCCATTCGACGACGCTGTTTTCGCCTTGTGTTTTCCCCCACGGGGTCTTGAGCGTTGCGGTGGTATTGCTACTGCCACATCTTCGTCACTTGATGTTGAAGCGGTTGCGTGGTCCTCGCTAGATCCTTGCTGGATCGCTGCTACTTGCAGCGTCCGCTGACCTTTGCCTTTCTCCACGTAACCAGGCTGTTGGCGGGCCTCATTGGTCGCGCGCCAGTTACCTTGTATGAGTTCCCTTGCCTTTGCGATCATCTCATCAAAGGTCTCATACTGAAATTCACTGCCAAGAGCAGCTGTCAAGGCGTTGCAAGATCGGGCGAAGAACTCGGCTGGGATTGAGTCGAACGGCAGGTTCAACTCCGGGGTGGCGACGAGTGTTTGCCACTCTGTCAGCCATTCCCGTGATGGTTGCTGGCCTTGAAACATGCGGAAGATCTTGTTCAATGCATGACGTTTGTCGTTGTTGACCATGAACCGGGTCTTCCACTTCTTCTCAAAGTCCTCCCAAGATATCTTGGTGTGGAGGGTGGCGATGGTGCATTCCAACGTGACGACCATGTGAGTCATGAATGCTTGTGCCCCTTTGATGAGCTGGAGGTAGAGCGCGTCAAGCCACCGTAGTGGTGGGACGTGATGTCCGTCCGCCTCCGCGTTGAATGCCATCCACCATTGCGGCGGATCGGTCTTGTGGTAGTCATCGAACTTCTCAATCTTGAAGTTCGGGATTTTCCATTCCTTGACGACGGCGTCCGTTCGTTGTTGAACACGGTCGCTGAGCGTCTGCAGCTGATTGCTGACCGTAGACGTCCCGACAAACTTGCTGACGTCGCCAAGGGATGCGACTACGTGGTTGATCCGCTCTTCGAGTTGCTTGGCTTGAGCGGCCAAAGCTGGGCTGCAGTCTGAAACTGCACTGGCCGTCAACTCAACTGCAGATAGACGTGCCAATCCCGTGCTGACCTTGGTCTGCAGCTGATCGTTGATGGTCTGTTGGTGACTGTTGGCGGCCTGCAGTGTACTGTTCTCGGCCTGCAAGGCAGCAATCTTCTGATCCAGCGTCCGAAAAGTTCCTTCATAGCGGATGAAGATCTGCCGCATGTCCATCAGTTCACGTTGCTGCCAATTGCACGTGTACAGCATGTTTTCCATCAGTACGGCTATGGCCTCCTTGCTTCTCTCTTCCTCGGTCGGCTCCTCTTGTTCTTCGTTTGTTTGAAAGTGCTGCTGTCGAAGTAACCTCCGGTACGTAGATTCTTCGTTGGCGGGCTCCATTGTGTCTTGGTAACGAACTTGATTCTGACTTGCCTCCGTCTGCCGTTGCTGTAACCGTGCGGCTGCTGCAGCTTCTGCTGTGGCCTGCTGACGCGCTGCCCCGGCCTCTGCCAGCTGGCGTTGAATCGCCTGCCGGCGGGCGGCATCCTCCTCTTCCCATTTGCGAAGTTCGGCTGCAGCAGTCTCTGTGTATAGTTGGAGACGTTTGAGAAACGCCAGTTGCGTTTCATGGGGCTGCTGAACTGGCACGGGATGAGTAACCGGCCTCTTGGGGCTGTCTTGTGCATTGGTGTCGGCGTTGGCCATGGTTGTGCGTGGTCTCCGCGGGATCCGAGGTGTTTTGAGTCCCTGCTGGGGCCTAGTTCCCTTGGATTCTCGCTCAGCAAGTCGTTGACTGCGGCGCATCTAGCATGTCTGGCTCCGCATAGCTGCGGACGTGTCACTGCTGAAGATGGCGCAGTGCTGACGTGGCCGAGGCTGAAGTCTGCATAACCGAGAGGAGGGGAGAGAAGGTAGGGATGGGAAGAAGGGAGGGGGGGCAAGCAAGTGCACAGACAGTCCCTTCTGCCCTGACCTCGGACCTGACACTTAATCAAAAGAAAAAAAATTCCACCCCCGAAAAAAAAATGAATTTTGAAAATTTTAATTAAATATTTGATGGTGCAAGGAAGATGAGCAATAGCGAATTCCAGAACTCAAACAGCATCATACATGAGTGACCAAATAGCCATGACCTCGAACCATAAGCAGAATGGCA